TTTTTTTTTTTTTTTCCTTTTGCAGGCCGAGTCACTGGTAGATCACATTAAGTTCGACCATGGATATACTTCTAAGAGTCCTGCTATAGTCAATGTATGTAATGTGCTCCTGAAATACACATCGACAGATGGCATATAATAAATTTAAATAAAAAATACCGAAATTCATCACCAGAATTCTTTTCAGCTACTTATTATATGTGGACAAGTTGTGTACTTGTGTGTATAATTTATGCCTTATTTATTGTGTAATCAGCTTCTTGAGATTATGTGCGAGTTCACTCCCGAGCAGCAACGTGCATTCTGTCAATTTGTGACTGGTGCCCCTCGGCTTCCACCGGGTGGTCTGGCTGTGCTCAATCCAAAGTTGACTATTGTTAGAAAGGTGTGTTTTTTATTTGTTTCATTATAAAGATGTTGATATTTTCTCATCGGTTTAATGTTTCGTCACGTAATTCAGCTTTGTGGTAATGTGCACACACTTCTCTTTGTAATAATTGCCTAATTGCAACAGCTTTCTGCAAACACAACTAGCACAGCAAATAATGGTACTGGCCCATCGGAGTCCGCTGATGATGATTTACCTAGTGTGATGACATGTGCCAATTATTTGAAGCTTCCACCATATTCATCTAAGGTACATACAGACTTCGGTTGGCTGGTTTGGGAAGGGCACCATTGGAATTTTGTTCCGTATTTTTGTTTTAGGAATAAAAAATACAAGATCAACTGCCGGTTCTAAGTTCCTCAACAAATATCAGTTTGGAACTTGGAAACGACAAATTTTTAATCAAAATAAATTTGAAGAAATGATAATTTTGTATGAATTAATCAAATAAAGTTCAATTTTTTAGTTATTAAATGAAAAAAGAAAAAGGAACTTGGTGTTAATAATCTAAATGCTATTAAATTTTGTCATTCGTATGATATAATATTATTATATAGAAGAATCAGTATCCACATATTGTGCCTCTGGGAAATATTTTTATTGTCATTGGTCATTAGGTGGTCATATTTAGCGTATTATTCTTGTAAATCGCTAAATTTATTCAGTGGTGCTGGCAGCTGAATTTGCTTTCCCGTCTTCTAGGAAATTATGTACAAGAAACTGCTTTACGCCATCAGCGAAGGACAGGGATCTTTTGATTTGTCTTGAAAGTTGTCGAGCTTCTTCTGTAAAATTAATTTATGTTCTGTTCCGTTCTGCCCATGAATGGTTCAATTTGTACCTTAATAATGGGAACCATTTGTGCGCTTTCTCAACCTCAACAGTTAAAGGTATGTATAACTTTTTGCCTCACAGAACTCATTCTAGACTACTTTTTTTCTTGGCAAAATTGCCCCTAATATCGCGACCTTTTTCGAAATCGCAATTTAGTCACGACATTTTCACTTTTGCGAATTATATAACAATTTTCAGTTTGTTGCAAATGGTGCATGGGTTCTAAAAACCAGCTCTATGAAAGCTGATGCGACTGAATAACAATCTGCAATTGTGATATAATTTGCACAAGTTTCGGAAATCAACAAACTGAAAATTGTGTTATAGTTTGTAAAAGTGAAGTGATCGTGATTAAATTGCAATTTCGAAAAATGTTGTGATATTAGGGGTTGCCCTTTTTCTTTCCCTTCTTTTATTTTTCATCATATTTCCTTATTTTACATGTCTCCTTTTTCACTATGTGAATACTATTACATTATTAGATGGCCCGTCATCTGATTTTATGATTCATATCAGTCGTTTAGGTGATGGAAGGTTGCACAGGAAGCACTTGAAGCCATGCGTGTAGATAAGTTACGATTTATTATTAGACTTTTGCCTAATTTTCTCGAAATTGCAACGAATTCTAGAGCTTTGTTAGCAAAAATCAACTGTTATGGATAATGTTGTGTACTCATCAGATGCATTTTCTTTTCCTATACTTTTTTACTTTCGGAATATAGACGATTTTTGGAGTTAAAAATTTTAAGGGCGAAC